TGGAGCAGCCTGGGCTGGTGGGAGGTGTCCCTGCCCATGCAGGGGGTGGGACTGGATGGTCTTTGAGGTCCCTCCAACCCAACCCATGACTCTATGGGAACATTCTCCTGCTCCAGCAGCCACCAGGAGGGGCAGAGGGAGGTGGGAAGGTCTCCAGAAGGGAAGGGTTTCAGCCAAAAACTTCCAGCTGCACCTGAAGGTCTTTTTTCTTTCCTCTTGGGCAGGTGAACTTCACTGTGAAGGTGGAGCTGGGTGGACCCTTCTCCTACGTGTAGTAAGGACCCCCCTGCCCCTTCCTCCTCCTCCCCCTGCCCCTTCCTCCTCCTCCCCCTGCCCCTTCCTCCTCCTCCCCCTGCCCCTTCCTCCTCCTCCCCCTGCCCCTTCCTCCTCCTCCCCCTGCCCCTTCCTCCTCCTCCCCCTGCCCCTTCCTCCTCCCCAGGTGGGGAAGGTTGAAGGTTCTTTAATTAGAAATGGTCCCTTTTGTCCTGACTTCCTGGCAAGTCCCAGTTGGCCAGAAATGACCCAGATCTGCCAGGACCTGGTGTCCTGAGTGTTGGACCTTGTCTGGGGTTGAGGTGGCACCAGAAGGAGAAGAACATCCAGAGATGCTGAGGAACCCAAGTGTCTGGGCCCGTCCTGACCTGCTTTTTCTTGGTGCTTTGGTCTCTTCCAGTTTCTTCTGCACGTTCCCCAGGGTGAAGGTTCACAACATTGTCATCTTCATGAGGTGGGTTCTCAGCTCCTGGCTCAGGGAGGAGCTGCTGCAGCTCCAGGGGACACCAAGGAAACCCCCCCCCTGCCAAACAGCCCAACCTGCTCCCTGGGCCACCAGCCACAGAGGGGTGAGGGATCTGCTGGGGAGGAGAGGACATGGGATGGTCTGAAGGCTGGAGCTGCTCCCCTGGGAGGTGGGATTTCACCCCTCCCTCCTGGGGTGGCTTTGGAGAAGCCCCTCAGCTCTGTCCAACCCCCCAGCCCTGTGCTCCTGCTTCACCCCCCTCTGGGGCCTCCACTGGAGCCAAGAGGTTGAGACCAGAGGGGTCAGACCTGAGCCCAGGTGGGTTTCCCTGTGCTCTGGGAACCCGTGGGCCCCTCTGCTGGGACCCCCTGGAGAACTGGGGCCAGTTCTGGAGCCCCCAGCACAGGGAGGACATGGAGCTGTTGGAGAGAG